CCCACCTTTAGCGGTGTGCAATCATGTACAGTGATCAAATAATATTAGGTTTCAGTCTTTCCCAGGATCATGTGCTAAAAACAAATCTGTCTGGGTTTCAGAGTACCGCTGCTGTTAGCTGCAGTGTGTGCTGCCCCACAGCGCGTCTGCCAAGACCGGAACAGACTGTTTCGTCTCTGGCCTTTACCTTATCTATAAATAACTGCCCCCCAAGCTCCCACCCCGCCTCACTCTGCTCTCACACGCTCACCTCTTTCTATTTCTCGCTGCTTTGCCCTTTAATCTCGCTGCTCTTTGGGAATCCCTTCCATTTATTTATTTATTTATTTATTTATTCTTGTCTGTAGGGCTTTTACATGCAAATAAAAGATGAGTCATGGATCAGGATTATGCTGTGATGTCATCTGGCAGAGCTCTGACAGGATTAACTCACGCAGCGAAACACTAAACCTGAAATGAACACATGAACCTTTATTTATCTCCTGTTTGCAAATGTTTTAAGCAATAAACAGTGACGGTAAGTTTGGGGAGAAGTCATATGACTGGGGCCTGCCGAGGGAGGGGACAGGTAATTAACACTTCCAGTATCAAATCACAGAGAAGAACTGGACTCTGGTTCTGGGATCTCTTCCAAACTGTGTGACATGTTATTCATAGAGTAAACTTGACTGTATAAGCTGCACCAAAGGTTTCCTGCATCTGCAAAACTGTTTCACAGAACTGTGATGTCCCCTGACCTTTACATGTGTCCCTACACGTTCCAAAACACGTGTTGCATACATAAGAGTTTGATTTGATCTATTACAGGATGTCAGGAAAATGAATAAATGTAGAAAGTTTCTGTCTGCTGAATAAAAACAAACTGTCATTCTGCTAAGGTGACAGGAAGACGAGTCCGGAAAGTGGAGGGAGGCGTCTTCTTTGTAAGTATGTCCCACCATCACTTAAGGTTCAATGTTGTGCTGGCCTTTCCCTTCTTGTTAATCTCTGATAGTGTTCCTGCATGACCAGTGGACACGTCCACATTACTAACCCACAGCCTGACCCAAAGCATCATCGTGTGTGAAATCACTGTCTGGACTGAGCTAATCACCCAACAGCTGTGACACCTTTAATCTGTCTTCTTACTAAATGAGTAGACACATTACTTATATTGATTGATCTGCATAGTACATGTCTTGAATTTTAACTAACAAAAACATTAATAAAATCACTCACTGACAAATAAGAAGCACCTAGAAGGAATGGTCCAATCTGGATGTAACACATGCAAATCAGTGATGGGTACATGAATGATCCGGTTTCCAAAAAACTGTAACATGTAAAGCAAATGCACAAAGACTTGTGGAACGTCATGTTTTAGTCATTTATGAAGTATGACAACATAACACTCCCTTGTGAAATACATACATGTCAAGTTGTGTGGATTGTCCTTAAATGACATGAATTTTCCATCATTTTGCACATATACGGTGAAGGACCCCATCTACCTGGTCCATGTGGGCTGGGTTCTTGTTCGACCAAAAAGACTAGAAAAAAGTGGCTGTAAATTTGGACGGTCTAGCCTTCTGCTTTATTCCCAGCCTTACATCGACATGTCCTGCCGTTTAGCACTAAACAGAACCAATAAATTAATTGAACGTAACAAAATAATTATATATTAATATTATAAATGAACAAAATTAGCTTAGAGGCAATGGTTGAACAACTGAAGGACCTGCCATACGAGCTCATTTGATTTCCGACAAAGATAATATTAAACATGTTGCAAATGACAAAAAGCAACAAACAAAGCAAAACAACAACAACAACAACAACAACAACACCGCATTACAGTAAATTTTACATTTTTATACCGCCAGATTTTTATTAAAAATTTTAAAAATTCATTTTCTTACGCTTTGTCCACCAATACAAGCAAAAACATCTCATCTTGGGTTTGGCTGGGCCGAAAAGGATCAACTGGAATTGTCCCTCAATTTTGGGGGAAAAGGGGCCTCAACTGGAGGAGTCTTTGAATTTGGACAGCCTTTTATGCTGCACAGTGGCCGACAAATATGGCTTTCGAAGGATGTGGCCCCTGAATTTGGACACAGCCATAGAGAAATCTTAGGGATATTTTTAAATCTCAGAGACCATCTCTGTCCCTCAACCATCTCCCAACCTTCTCTGCCGCTAGAAATAAGTTCCCCACATCTCCCAGTCCTCCTCTCCTTGCTCCTCTGCAACACTGTTATCTCCGCCTCACGTTCTGTTTCTCCCTGCAGCTGACAGTCTGCTCCCCCTTGTATCACGTATGAGTAACACACATTTTTTGTGAAAGCTACAAATTTTTAAGAATCAAGATACAGGTAAATGTCTGAAGGGGTTGATGTGTATGGAATTATATAATTTGATGTTCTTTCAAGTGTGGATTCTAAAAATTACATTGATGAATGGCAAAAGGCTCCTTGGTATTCTTAGTCTGTTGCTGTTTTGGCAGAAACTAACACCTGGTTTACATGGTAAGATGCTGATTTTTGATCCAATTTTCCCTTACAACAATCGTAAGGATGCCCGGATTTTCACGCTGGCTCTAAAGATCTTATTAGCAGATATTCTTGCTGTGTGTGGTGATTCAAGAGTGATGTAGTTGTCTTGGAAAGACATCAGGACTGCGCCAACATTAAATCTGGGATATTCAGCACATTGGATTGTCTTGGCCGGATATCTCATCCTGTGTGGTATCCCCTGAGAACAAACAAGCTGCAGTCTGTTCAGTGTGACATGCAGCCAATCAGAAAGTCAATTGACAGAAACACAGAGGGGAATCCAAAATACAGAAGACAAAACTGCCATGGAACATCAAAACGTCTGGTGGATGGTGAAGACGTCTTTTTGTTTTGTTTGTTTTCTGTTAAAAATAGTCGACAAACTATCACCATAGCTTCTTCCTCATCTGTCATGTATGCAGTCTTTGAAAAGTAACCAACAATTAAAAGTTTCCCACGTGAACCAGACATAACAAAGCCCATACAGCATCTTGCAAGATGGTGGCAAAATTTCTTGCTTTGGTATCAAAAACTGCTATGGTATACGGAGCCGCCAAGGGGAAATTGAGGGATTTCTTCTTTTGCGTTAGCTTGCAATACTATTGTGTTCCAACACTTTTTGAGCTTTTTTATGGCTATGGTGGTGAAATTTTTCTTATTGCTTCTACCTTTGCAGTCAAAGAACACACTTTGCCCTGTCCGACTTGATGACCAACTCAATCGTAGTGACACAAGCAAACTCACATTTAGCCATTCTGAGACACAATTACACCTGAGTTCAGTTCAGTTGACCATTTAATAATCACAAGTATTTGAGGATTGTATTTTAGCCAGGGATCCAGTAAGAACACTGTCTTGATGAGGGGGTGGTGTTACGACCCCAGGCCATATACTGCCAGGGTTTGTATGTGTGCCAGGGTGTTTCAGGTCCCTCAGGTGGTAGGGAGCTGATTGCAGACTGGAGAAAGCTGGCCAGAGTCTCCAGTGGAGTTTATGTAAGAGCAACCTTCACCAAGGAATAAGAGGCTCCTCCTTTTGTTTTTATTTTTTTAGGTTATTTTTTTTTGTTCTAGTTAACAAAAAACAATTTTAAGTTGTTTTTGATTTTGTCAGTTTCAAGTTTTCTCACTGACCTTTGTAAAAAATATTTTCTTTAAAAAACAAACTAACAATTTCATCTACATCTGTACGTAATGCTGCACTACAAATTAGGAGATGTAACATTATTATCTACTAATAGGAGCTTTTATAAAAGTGACTTGTTATGCTTTGGACTGCAGAACCCATGAGAGGACATGTTTTTTTCTTTTGTGTTTATCTCGCAATACTTTTTGTCTTTCATTGCAAAAGCCGCTTATTACTGTTGTGCTTGCTAATTTATTAACGAGTTCACATCCTCACCATGATATGGGAGTAAGTCTACTACTTTAATTCAGCTTTGTATTAAATGTATCACAAACACACACATGAAGATTTACCCCAGATTTACACTACATGCGTCTCCGCTCCGCTGCGGTTTGCAGTTCGCATCTGTTAATTTGTGCCCCACTTTATACAGCGTCCGTTGCGCTCAGCTCTGCTCCAGTCCGCTCCGGTCCGACACAGAGGAGAGAGAGGGTGTCGGGAGGGTGTGCATGAAGGAGATTGCGCAATAAATTCAGTGATAAATATGGAAGTCACAGCAAAAAATAATTAATTCTGTGAAAGATGAACGCCAAACACAGCTGAAAACATTGATATAAAGGCTTTTGATATATACAGTATGTTGAAACTGTATTGCTGTCGTCTTTTTGAAACTTCTGATTTCAAAATAAAATCCACGTGTATCGTGTCTGTACACATGTGCTTCATGCTACATGCTTTCATCTGCTTCCCAAACAGAAAGATACATTCTGACAGCATTTCTGTAGAAATATATCCATATATTGATTAATATAGCTGGGATTTCAACATTATTCAGACAAGTTATCCCTCCTAATAGTGTCTTATTGTGAAAATTCAGATGTTGTGCTCGTTCCTCTTCCTGTTGGTGCGAAGTAATCTTTAAAAATTGACTCCGGTGCAGCTCCGGCATCTGGCAGAAATAGGATCGGATCTAATTTTGCCGGATCGCCGTCCGCTAACTGCCGCTCACCACCGCCGTGCGTAGCCAGTGTAAACACTCTCTTTGATTATAATGGGTGTGTATTTGTTGCGGAGGTCAGACCGGAGTGGAGAGGAGCCAGAACACATGTAGTGTAAATTAGGGGTTGCAGTGCAGCCACAAAGTATCACTGCTAGTTTCGAGAAGGGTCTAGCTGCAGCTTGTATATGTATACTGTATATATATATATATATATA